ATTTAATCTAAAAGTGACTATTCCTTTTAAAATTACAAACCTCAAAATTAAAAAAAAAGAAATAAAAAATACTTTAATTTCTTCGCTATTTCGTTTCCGAATCAATTCTGTAAACTAGATCGCTAATCACTTACAAAATCAAACTGGCGATGGCGTATCGCTAACCACTTTAAGAGCAGTGGCCATTTTGTTTTTTTTTTTTTTTTTGCTTTTTTTGTTTGTTTTTTTTTTTTTAGTTTTGTTTTTTGCTTTTTAAGATGCATCTATAACCGCCCGTGTATATTTTCTTTTTTTGTTTTCGCGATTTTAGACAGATGTACTTTCAGTGAACATTTTCAACTCTTCACTTCATAGAAAGACGTCTCTCTAAAATCCACACATTTATAAAGGGGGTGTGAAAGATTGTCTGGCTTCATTTCATAGTTTGTTAACATTTCCGTAAATTATGCCACCCGCCACAAAAAAAAACAAAAAAAAACCCTCAAAAAGCAAAGCCAATGAAGAATAGGTGTCATTGAGCCTGAATGAATCTCTCAGTTATCAGAGTATCTTCGCCCTTCTAACTTTTTTCTTTAACTGTAAACTTCAAAGAGCATTTTTACTTGAGAAATGGTTTGAAGATCGCAATAAAGCTTAGTTTGATCCAGCATAGAGAATAGGAAGATCCTCCAAGTGGGGGAAACTTGGCTGCTTTTCTTGAAAATCTACACATTACTGGCTTTTACCTGGACACGAGCCTCGATTACTACCTCACCACAAAACAGATCTAACTCTAGATAAAACTTAGCCTAGACCGGTATAGGACACTCCCACTAACAATTACTCTTAGATTTATGACGATATTTAAGATTAACCTAGTTTGACACAAGGTCCCAGAACCCATTGAAAATCAAACTGAACTTGCTAAACATGTCCCTACGGTAGCTACCCTGAAAATTTTTTGAAATGTAACTCAAAACGTAGCTCCATCAAATACTTTAACAAGAAAGAAACAAAGCTGATACCAGTGGTCCCGAAATGATCGTGTTATAATAATAATAATAATAATAATAATAATAATAATAATAATAATTATAACGATAATAATAATAATTGTGTTACAATCTCCAAAATCACACAAAAAAGAAATGTCAACCAGTATATTTATGAAGGATAACGCTTTTTGGACGAACATTTTTTGTAAGCAAATTGCTTGATATTAAGAAATAGATAATTAATAGTAAATAATTAAAATAAAATATTCAAAACTTATCTTCCTGACTTATCTTCGCATATGTTATACGCACATCGTAAATTTATTTAGATAGCTCTTAAAAACGTTACATAATTTTCTCTAAAGGAAACGTTAATTTTTGTCTTAAATTATTTTAAATTTGTTCAATTTAACATTTTTACATATCTATAGGTCTGCCATTCGCCCATGCTTAGAATATTGCTGCCACGCATAGTCTGGTGACCCTGCTATTTATCTTGAGCTCCTTGATAAAATCCAAAGAAGAATCAGCAATATTATTGGTCCTGACTTGGCGTCTAGGCTTCTGTCACTTTCTCACCACCGTAAGGTTGCCTCTCTATGCCTTTTCTATAAATACTTCTATGGTAATTGTCCTAATGCGCTCTTCAATGTGGTACCGAGACATTTTTAAATTTAAGCGCAGTACTAGCTGGCGTCAAGATCTCGTCAGTTTACAGTTGAGCTGGCTAGATGTAGCCGTAAGTTCTATGCTAGCAGTTTCTTTTCTCGTTTGTGGAAATTCCTTCTGGTTCCATGCTTTCTAGACAATTTTAACCTGCAAAAATTTAAATGTAATGTCTATCGCTATCTACTGTCTTCCTGGTTACTCTTTCCTCTTCCCGCTCTGTTTCTGTTTCTAATACTTTGATTATATAAAAGTTATCATATTCACATAACTGGACAATTTCAAGTTAGAAGATGTCATGGATTACCTTTCAGAAAGAACAATTTTAAAATAAGTTGACTTCTTTTTTCTAGAGAAAATTACGTAACGTTTTCTAAGATAAATTGAATTTATTTACAGATATATATATATATATATAACTTACAACCTGATGAGCGGATAAAAATGTCGAAACATTGCGTCGGAAAGTTAAGTTTTAAACATTTAATATATATATATATATATATATATATATATATATAATCTTTAAAATCAGGCAAAATAAAAAACCTATGTATTTCAGCGTTTGTATATCAAGTAAATTTCGCTACGTATTTTTTCAGGAGTTTACAATAGAAATCCTGCGATATTTAAATGGCTTACTCCGAAATAGAATAATTCTTGATTAAAAAAAAAATGTTTTTTTACAAATTCGTTAGAAGTGTTATTAACAAAAATAAACATACATATTATTTTACGTTTATTCGTTCGGGACTCGCAAACTCATTTTTGCTGTTATATTTAGGTGACACAGTCTACAACGACCAAAATGAGTATACATATCCGAATGAAAAGACATAAAAATGATCATTTTTTTATATAAAAAATTTTGACGTAAATATCTAAAAACTAAAAAAAAGTTTCTGAATGTAGAATGTTCAAACACTAACTAAACCAATTCAATATATTCAGATTTTGACAAACTCTTTTTTTTACCAATATTATCACCCATCTTAACCAAGTACATAAATGAATAAAAACAATGAAAATGAAATGCTTTGGTTTAAACAAAAAAGGAGTAAAATGTGGGTCTGTAGACGATGGATCACTTTATTTTTAAATATTTTTCAATATGAATACAGCAGGATTTCAGTTTTATTTTATTATGCAGAGCTAGCTTTTTTGTTTTTATTTACGTACTTTATCGAATTTAGGTTTCTTTGCAAACAAAAAAATGCGGATGGTGTTTCATGGGTAAATTTTTTTCTCATTTTGTCATTTTACTCATCCATTTGCTTCAAGCATTTTTCTATATGTATATTTTTTTTAAGTAGAAGCAAAATTTCGTGGCAGCAGGAATCGTTGTCCCCAATAAACTATAGCTAAAGTTTGTTTTGTTTTTTGTTTTTTTTTTAATTAAAGTTTCAGGGCAGGGCAGAACTACAATAATCTGTCTTGATTAATTAATATTTATTTAATACGTTAGAAATTAAACGTATTTGGAACAGCTGAATAAGTTTTAATTCAGCTAGTCATTCGGCCGGTTGGGCAATATAACTATTGGCCTTTCATCCAGGACTATCAACTAGTGTATGTATGTGTAATTATATATATATATATATATATATATATATATATATATTGTGTGTGTGTCTGTGTGTGAGTGTGTATGTGTGTATAAACAAGCCAGAGAAACCTTTTTTAATCTTTGTGTATGTGGAGTTGAGAGTATAACATTCATGAAAGCAAAGAGGAAATTTTTAGGTCATAATTCATAATTTCAGACAAATTAGTCGTACCAATCCTCAAGGCAGATTCATACATATATACATAAGTAATAATGTTTGTTTTTTTTATTTGTTTTCCTGCGTTGCTTTTTTTCCTCAAGCCAAAGTTGTTTTTTTAATTTTTTTTATCTTTTGTTTCTAAAACAAAATGTCCGACTTATATTTACAAGAAATGGTTACATATGAGACCTTAAACAATGTTTTTCTTGGTTTTAAAAGTCCATCTTGGCTTCTCTTTTTTTTTTTTTTAACATAATTATCGCATTTTTTTTTAACAATTTTTGCTTTTTTTTGGAGCTTTTTTTGTTGTTTTCAATAATGTTTGAATGTTACATTGTTTCTTTTTTCATTGGTAAATTCCGTTTTATTTGTATGTTTGTTTGTTTTTTTTTTATTTGTTTTTTTTTTTCAGAAAATTGCGGACTTGTGTGTGTGTATTTTCATAAGGGATTTTTGTATAAATTCTCCCCTTCTCAACTACTCACCATCTCTCTTTCACACTCTTTCCATCTTGTTTCTCTATCTCTCTCTTTAAATTCTCAAGTGACTTTTCTAGTGATCTGCAACACAATTGTTCTCACTTTTTTTTTTTATTCAGTTTTAGGAAGATTATAATTTCAAATATTAAGAAAAAAATTCAAAATAATTTTGTTAAAAAAAAAGAAAAAACATTGGTCCTTGAAGTGGTCTTCCTTTCTAATATCCAAGGAAGCGTATGTATAAATGAAACGAGTAACAGGTAGAGAGGGAGGGAGAGAGATAGAGAGATATTAATTGGTTCGTTTTTGTTTCTTAAAAATTGTCTTTCTCTTTCATTTTTTTTTTCTTCTAAGGAAAAATGTCTGAAAAATAAAAAGAAACCCATACGAACGAGGAGAATATCAAATAATATATTTAAATCTTCTTTCTTGTGAGTGAGAGATTTTTAGTCAATGGATTTTTTTTTCTTCAAATGAGATAATAGAATACTTCAGAAAGTAGGGCTGGAGAAGGAGAAAAAGTGTCATTCTTGTAATGTATGTAACAGACATATACATACGCGGAGTGGACAAAATTACTACGCGATAGATTATTATATCTGTCTGTCAGTCTCTCTCTCTTTTTATTTTTTGTACTTCTTTAATGTAAGTTGGCAAAATATTAATCAATTGTTGGATACGTGGAAGAACTGTGGAACTAATTTCCATGATATCACATACAGACGAATCATAACGTTTTTTGTTTTTTTTTCCATCTTCCTTTTTAAAATGTTCTGCATATATTTCACTAAATCATTAGCTTTTTTCAGTATCTTCCGATTATCTCATATATATATATGTATCTGTCTGTCTGTGTGTGTGTGTGTTTTGTGTGTGTGGATATTCAAATCTTTATATATATATATATATATATATATATATATATATATATATGTTGTGGATGTTCAAATCTTCTTTATATATATATATATATATATATATATATATATATATATATATATATAAAACATTTTCTTGTTACAAGTCTGATCACTTTATCTAAAAAAAATGTTTCTCTGCTTTTTTTTTTAATTTAAAATTTCTTAACAAAATAAAATTGACCAAATAAATCTACCCTATCTTGTCCTTTTCAATAATCTAATATTATTGCAATCATCAGCCAGCTCTGAATACTCTTCCGGATTACGAATATACATGCCTTCATAGCCTTCTGCATAACCTACAGTCTTTATTTCATATTTCTCCTGTTCAGACCACTGGTATTCACTGGGCAGGCTATTTTGCAATAAATATTTCTCCCGCGACCAAGCATGCTGTACGGCTCGATCTTTTGCATGTTGCAAAACGCGGTGACGTTCTCTCATTAAATCTGTCCCATAACGGATATTCATGATACTGTAATTACCGTGTAAGCGGATATCGATCTCTTCATGGCTCCGAGCATGAAATCCGTCAGTGTGCTGAATCTTGTGAACTGATATATTTATCCCGTTCTCAAGGAAGATTTGGTCACCGTGTATGCCTAAACTATTCAGGTCGATTTCCGCCTGATTGACATCTACCTTGACAAAATAGTGGACATCTTTGCCCTTTATCGTAAAATGCATGTCGACAATGTCGGAATTGTTTAACAGGACGCTGGCTGTTTTGCGCAAAATCTCCGGCGTGTTGTCCACAAAATTAACGAGTACTCGCTCGTCTACAACTGAAAGGATGATTCCATCCCCTAGGACGAATGGAACATTGGCAGGTTTTAGCACCGGGGTCGGCTGTTGAGGAGTTATTTTCGAACTTGATACCGTGGACATCATCAACAAATTGTCCATGTCACGTCGGAAGGTACACTCAAAAGCCGACGATGTGGGAAGTAATTCCGAATCCCGACAACCTTTTCTTTGCCCTCTTATTTCTCCCGTGTAAGTGACATCAGGGGCCAGACTTTTTACGTTGTAACCCAGCAGCAGTAACCAATCGGCTAAATCTGCAAAGAAAGTGTATAAAAATAAATAAAATTAGAATATAAAACTGATATCATTTTTAACAAAGACATCACAAAGAATATATACTATTTACATCGTTCGGACTGTTGTCCTCATCGTTATTGACTTATTCATGACGTTTCGGCCATTGTATGCTCCGTCCGTCTTCTCATAAATTTCATTAAAGAAATTGAGCTCTACAGAAAAATATATATATAAAAAAAAAACCCAAAACTGTTTACCAAATCTGCTTACCTATATTGTTTTGTAACCAATTTTTGAAGGAAAAATTATTTCCAGCAATTCATTTGACTCTCGACAAATTCCCCCTTTGCAAAATATGTAAATAAAACCTGATCTACAACATGATTCCTTACAAAGAATACATACTCGTATTCATGCGAATCTATCCGAATATTCTTGTCAGCATTAAATAACCCTTCGAGGTTGATATGCCGTTAAACTAAATAAACCAAACCAAACTGTCTTCAGTTGAGATACGTTGGAATTTCGAACCGAACCCTTTATTTATTACTCGGGTGTAGATTGTTCTAATTCTACGTACCATGCCTTTTTTGGAATATCTCCGTTTCAGTTCATTCCCTTTGGAACTCAACTCTCCAAGTTTCTGTTCCCTCTGCTCTGGCCAAGTATTGAACTCACAACTCTTTGGTCTTTGGGTCAGGTCACTTGTTGGATCACTGAACAAACGTTTTTATTCACTGGGACCTGTGTCCCAAAGTACAAGGACTGAAACGTTGTGAATATGGCTATAAAGATGAAGATGAGGACAACATTCGAACGATGTAAATAGTGTAAATAGTAACAATATCTCATCTAAAAAATATAAACAGATGTTGAATTATATTTATATATATATATATATATATTATGAATTAATTGATTTAAAATATGTTTTTCGCTACACAGTAATAACGATGTTTCAAAAATGGAAGCTAAAAAACTTTAAATTTAATTTTGTAATTAAATTAGAAACATTAGTTCCATTTCATCCTCAAGCGAATTTTGGAGTAACTTATTTTTTTAAATTCACCGAGTTTTAACTGCAAAGGAAATTCATAATTTACAGTTACCAAGGATACAGAGAAATCCAATCATCCAGACAAGCGGTGGTACACACACAAGTTTCATTAAAGACAACTGATAAAGTACTGCGATTAAACTTTTTTATCCAATTTTTCTTACGTTCTAAGTGTTTTCTTTTCTAGACAAAAAGTGTGTAAAAACTGTCCAAATGTTCTATATATCCGAGCATTTTCGGCTATTCTACTAGCTACAGTGTAACCCGGATATAAGAGAGTTGTCGGGACCGGAGAAGAAGTCTCTTATATCCGGGTTTCTCTTATATCCGGGTCTCTTATATCCGGGTTACACTGTATTATCAAGGATTTTTTTTTAAAACTGAGTATGTAGATTTTTATATATTTGAATCTTAGCGATGCAATTTTTTTTTATTTACTAAACACGGTCAATACGTTGTGGCCATGTTCATAGTTATATTATTAAATGATGGACATTTTCTTTTTTATTATTAATTCTTCCGTTATTTTTAGCTGTTTTTATTTGTGATTGAAGTTATTATGGTCGTATTTTATTCGAGAATGTTGCGGACGTAATTTGGTAGGCTTCTCTGTGTGTTTAAATGGTTCGTAATTGAGCTATGGTCTGAGAGATGTAACGTGAGTCTTCTTGATAGGCATGTAGTGGTATATCCAATATAATTATTCATGAAGTTGGTTTTATCAGGAAGTCAGTTCCTTAAGGCGAATGTAAATTCATAAATAATATTGGTCTTCTGTAATTTGGATCTTGCAGGTCTTGTTGTTGATGATGAGTTTAGCTGTTTTAAATTTTTTATAATAGCTCATTAAATTTTCTTTTTCTGGTCGATTTCTTTACACTGTTTCTAAGAGAAAATTCATCCTGCTTATAATTAACGTGTATTTGATTTTATAGAAAATGTTGCTATTGTTGTTTTATCTGTATGTTCAGTGTTGCTGTTGCTTACTTTAGAAAGAAATAATCAAATTTCGTTGTCTATGAGGCTGTTCGAAAAACTGTTATTAACTAGCGCCTGCTTCAATTTGTTGAGTTCTTTAAAGAATAACTAGCAAAAGGATGAATTCTCATGTGATCTCTTGGGGAATTTTTTTGAAATAAAAGTGGCAAGAGCGTCTACTTGTATGTTTTTTTTTTTTTTGTATAACGAAATGGTGAATGTGCTATCAACAGATTCTACAAGAAAGTCTATTTTTCTTTCTTTTCGTTTTGCGCAAACTGAGCCCTTGTCTAACTTTTGAGACTCTCGCGTAAACTGGATCCGTATCCTTTGCTTATGAAAATGACAGAATTCGACATTAAATAAACCGGAAAATATTAATATACCGTAATTCAAACCAACCCAAATACATTTCCAAGACTTGTTTGAATATTGAAGTAAGAAGACTTGAAAACTTGTTAAACTGGCGTTACTGGTATTATGATTTTCAATGATTTCCACACTACGCTGGCTTTTAAGTCGTATCAGATTTAAATTCAAATACAATACAGTAGATTTTCCCATGAGCTTCCCAAGCCACCTACAGGGCGATGAGAGAAAAAAAATCACACACAAACCAGTTATTGAAAGATCAAACGCAGCTTCTCAAAATTAAGTAGGCATACACAAAGAATATGTCTTCTCACCAGATTCATTTAACCTGTACAGTGAGGCAATACTGACAAAACTAAAAGTCCTACGAGGATTTAGTATCGATCGACACAATTTTAACATACGATACAAAACTGACATCGCGTTGACAGCAGACACAGTAAAAACCATAGTAACTCATAAACAAGAAAACTGGAAGAAAGATCTGTTTATCAATCGTAAGAAAACAGAATTATACTCGTTATCAAAAGGGACACTGCACGAGTTATGAGTAATCAAGCAAAGACAAGAATTTAACAATCTGGGAAATGCTAAAATGGATGTCACGTGTGCCTCGAAGAGGAAATAATAGCATGATAAAAATGTTCACATTCCACGCTACTTCAAATAAAGTTAGGAACAAAATCCCATTCAATATTGGAAAGAGCTATAACAGATACTGGACTTGAGAAAATTGTTTTCTTGAAAAAAAAAAAAAAAAGACAAAGATTTTATAAATATAAACCAAAAGCAGTACTGGTTGTTATGATTCCTTGTAGGGAAGCGGCTAATATTACTATTTCTCACAAAAAAGAAGATATTAAATTAATCAAATTTTCAACAGCCTCTGCGTTAAAAAAAATTGTCATCCTTCTTTAAAGATATGTATATATGAACAGAAAACAATATTGAAGCAAAGATCTCTGGGAAGTAATAAAAACTACTCAAGTAATGTTAGTCGAAACAGTAGAAAAGTTAACAAAATCATTGATTAAAATGCTGATGAAGGTTGTGGAATGTCAACGAGCCAATATTAACATTATAAATAATTTAGTTTTATGGGATATTATATTAATCAAATATATATTTGTGGCGAAGGCGCATCAGTACAGACGCAAAAGAGACGTTGGATTGCATGCGAACATATTTGTCAACACGAGTTACATCCAGGTTTTTCCCGTTAGAAGTGGTACAGGTTGGCATGTCTAGATACGGGCCTCTCTACAACTGGTCAAGATCCGGGTCTTTGTAAGATGCCTCATGCCAGTAAAAGCATGGGGAAACGCCATCAGTTGGCAAGACACGGTGTCTTGTGAAGCCTGTCCTAAGGGCGTTTTTGTTCCTCGGGTTGCTGTGGTTTCCGAGGCAGTGTTATTTTTGTTACCTCCCGTCTTTTCTCCCCCCGCTCTAACCCCGTAGCTGTTGGGAGATCAATCGGTTAGGTGTTTCCTCCATCTTCAACACACTCTTGCCATACTGTACAACAATATTTCTGTGGTTTCTATCTTTTATATTTATTTATAAACAGCAAGTTACACTTTGTTTTATTCCCAGAATAAAACTTGACGCCCATAAGAAAAAAATATCAATATTTTATTAAGGATAGATATAATGCGCTGAAACTCAGACGATGTATTGATCAATATCCAGAAAAATTGACCAACATTGTCGAGCTAATATTTATTGTGAAAATACTGACTGTATAATAAATTCTGGAAATGTGTAGATTGATTAAGTTTGTTTTTTTATTTTTATTTTTTTTTACCACAAATCGTCTTGTATTAATATTCATATGAATATTTAACATCATTTTCTTCCGTTTTGTGGACAGTGTCCCGTGCTAATTATCAATAGACTAATTATATTTTTATTATCTCATTAATTTATTAGCCCAAATCGAATGGCAATGCCGGAAACCCAGTCTCACGTTCAAATTAAAGGGATAGGGTAGGTGAAGACCGGTAATTAAACTCACCAACCATATACAGATATTTTTTTACGGGCACGTCTATCGCAAAGTATCTGCCTGGAAACTGACATCTCGTCAGAAACATTTTTTCAGATTTTTAGATAAAGAATTATTATTATTACTATTTGTTAATATACGCCTATTTACTTTGAACGAGAATCCTCTTCTTGGTTATCATAGTCACAATCTTTCGACTGTTGTACCTACCGGCCTTCTTTAGTTGTCTATCGAAGTTGTTAAACTTTCCAGTAATTTCGAACCGATCTATTTATTCAGATCAGGAGTAGATTAGTCTTATTTTAATAGAGTCATTTTTTTTAAACAGTAAGCTTCACCCTCTACAAGGCCAGGGTGGTTACACTCGAGATAGCAGGGGCAGTTTATATGGATAGGAGATCGAAGATAACGGTTAACCCTAGACTTGAACTAGTTAAGATTGTAGTGATCGGGGAAACATTCTCTAGGAAGTCTGTTCGATGGAATACGGAGGGAATATGGGTGGGGAGTGCTACTATGTAAGTGGCATGGTGGGCCTTAGCCGTGAAGGTTAGACATGGTGGAACCAAGGAATGTAGTTTGTTCGAGCACTTTCCATGGAAGTAGCGACAAAGTTGTGAGATACACGCCGTATCCTGCCTGTGAGGGAGAGGTTGGGGGATAGAAATAATTCTTCTCCCACAAGGACTCGGAGACGCTTTTGAATTGTATCAATACTGGAATGCGAGGACTGGGCATCCCCCGCCCAAATGTGGCAACACTACTCCATTTGGGGCCTGATCTGGCTCTTATAAAGGTAGCATGAGGTGCCAGATACTTACTGGAGTGGCACAGTGAGCCAATCATTTTACCTGGATCTTTAGCGATGGATCGTATACAGGAGTTCCATTTAAGATCGTGTGTGAGTTTGAGGCTAAATATTCTCTCAAGACACGATGCCTCCTCGAGGTGGCATCCATTCATCGTGACTGGCGCTAGTTCGGGTTCTGATCAGCGGTGATGGAATGTAATCAATTTGGTTTTCGAGGCACTGAATGTAACCAGTAAGTTTTTTTTTCTCCACTGGGAGGTTAGCGTTTGATCGGAGAAGAGGTCAGCTGCCAATCTCAGTGGCTTCTATCTTTTATATTTATTTATAAACAGCAAGTTACACTTTGTTTTATTCTCAGAATAAAACTTGACGCCCATAAGAAAAAAATATCAATATTTTATTAAGGATAGATATAATTAAACGTTTCCGGTTGTTATATTCACGTACACACAAATACCCTTGAAAAAGTTAAATGAATGCACCTCTTCTTTCCCTATCTATGGTTAAATAATAGAACTTTTATCAGCAAATAACTAACTCAAAAATATTCTTACAATCTAAAAATATATTCTAGCTTTTATTAAGCCGTAAAAAAATCAATCAGTCAATGAAAAATCATTTAAATCAGATAGATAAAAAATTTCAGAACGTTGTTCTTACCTGTCAGCGGGTACTTGCGATTTTTCATATGCAAATTCACCAACAAGGCGTATTGATAGATATTCAATACTTCGGGTTTTTCAATTGCATCCTTGACTTTCTCAAATACGTTTGCAAAGTCAGGGGCCACCCAGCGGCCGATTTGTGGGTCATAAACTTTGTCACCGATATGCAATAGACTAGTTATTGGATTATGGATTCCGCCTTGGAAACCAAATGAAAATTCAAAGTGCGGGTTTGAGTCTGCACTTAGCCAGCCAAGAGGGTCATAACTCATTTGCTTTATAACGCGTCCCTGTGTGTCAAAGATGACAAGTGGGGTGTTTGTAGGATCGTTAGCAATGTAATAGATATTGCCTCGTCTCTCCATCGCAATTAACTGGTTTTCCTCGTCGTAGTGGTACTGTGTGGTGTCTCCGTTGCCATGATTGTAAGTGTGTGTCACGCGGGACGGATGTTCGACGTCCAGGTAAAAATACTGCAGGACGTTTCCCACGAGGTCCTTGTAGACGACAAGGCGACCGATGGGGTCGTAGGAGAAAATCACTTTGTACTCTTCGGTCTTCGTGACGGATCGCAGCTGGCCGAGGGAGTTGAAATGCAGGTGCTCTTTGTTGCGTTGCACCATGAAGCCGTCAGTGTCGAACTTGTAGTACTTTTCGCCGAACTTTTTCACGTGATCGGCCTCGTCGAAATGCAGCTCTTTCGTGCGCCCGTAGGTGGTGATTTTGGCGATGTTGCCGTTGGCATCGTAGCCGTAGTGCCAGGCCTTCTTCCCGTCGACTAGAACGTCGATGACGTTGTTGTCGATATCGTAGACGTATTCCATCGCCTCATTGTTGGCGTGACCGATCCTGCGTCTCCATTCGTGGATTCGGTTTGTCCGATCATAGTTGATCTCCAACAGATAGCACTGGACGTCGGCAAATTTGTACTCTATTTCTTTCAGGCGTCCGTAATGATCGTACTCACGTCGGATTTTGACGTTCACATCACTGATTAGCTCGCGATCCGGTAACGGCCAGTTGACTTTAAACTGCTTAATATTGGCCAGCTTTCCTGTGTTCGTGTTATAACTGAAGTTAGTCGATGTCGTTTCGTTGTTGGTGAAAACGATATGCATATACGTGAGTCGGAAGTTGTTGTCATAGTTATAAAAAGACTTTGCGCCTATCAGTTGACGATCTTGTTGAAATTGTGCCTCAATGCTACTCATCAGTGTACTACTATAATAGTAGAGGTACTGGCAACCGTAGCCTGTATAGAAAGCTTCCAGCTTGCTCAGTTTTCCGGTTTGTCCATCGTACCCGTAACTGATGTGAGAATCGTCAAAGAGAATTGTGATTGGCTGGAAATGATTGTTGTATCTATAAATGACCCGTCGGCGTTCGCTGGGGTATAGAATCTGCAAGACCTTCCCATTGCCATCCACATCTTTGATAAATGGAAGCTGGGCTTTTGGGGGATAGTAGAGATAGCGTTGGAATCCGATAGATGTGACGTAAGCAAACCTGTGTATCCCGAGGCTTGGCATCGTCACAGAGATAAGGTTGCCTTCTGCGTCGTAATAGAAACGGTACTGCTTTCCACTCGGGAGGATTATGTCTGTTGGCTGCAAAAGAAAACAAATTGTGAATTGGCAAGCGGCATAATTAAAACGATGATTGGAAAGAAACTGTGTGTGCAAGAGAGAGAAATGTGTTTTATTAGAATCTTGAATCATCCTCAAACCGCAGCCACTTTCAAATTCGTTCTACCATTATAAATGTAATATGGACCAATCACAACAGAAATGGCGGGAAACCTTCAAAATTTTGATCAAATGAAAGTTAAGAATTCTCTTACGAAAAGACAAAATTCCCCTTCCAAATAGATGGTAACATTAGCTGTTACCTTATAAGGAAACATTGAACATTCATTGAAAAAGCAACTTGCAACTTGTTGGTCGAATTTTTTTTTTCTTAAACCAATTTTCAGGAAAATAGATTTCTCAAAAAAAAAAAAAATGGACAGATACCTATTAGGATTATTCGAGTAAAGTAAATTTCTCGGACACAAGTAATGAGGGCTTAGAGATTTGAACATGCGCAGGATACATTGGAGGCAAGAAAAACAGGGACAGACAGTATTCTATTTAATGAATTTGTGCAAATGGATGGTAGAATACGGGAAAATGAGATAGTAAAAAATCAAGTAACAAAATACTGGTTGTGGAGAGCCATGATCAACAGCGTCTTGAACGGACATGGTATATAAAATAAGGCATTTCTGTGATATCTCATTTTTATTGTCAATTGATTTTTACTATGCCATGTTGTTGGCTCTAAGTATCTAGACGCAATATAACGCAGCTAATCCTCTTTCCAGTGGTGATACTTATCCAAGTATACATAACCCACAGGACTGTCCCCAAGAGCAACGACTTCATTCAATAAGCCGCTCCATCTAGAGCATTAGAAGCTGGATCTAGCATAGGATTATATAACTGAAGAGTAATTTGAGAGATTTGAATATTTTTTCATAATAATTCATCATGCCTAAACCTAGAAACCTCAACAGAATTTAGAAAAGCATTGATGAGTCGTTTCGTCCTATTTTGGGGACTCATCAGAAGTGTGCATCCACTACTGAGGATCGAACCTGGACTGTTACGATACAACACATGTCAGTGGGCCTTGGTGATGAAGAGGAAACAAAGTATATATATATATATATATATATATATATTATAAATTGATTTAAAATGTTTTTTCGTTACACAGTTCTAACCATGTTTCAAAGATTTTTGAAACATGGTTAGAACTGTGTAGCGAAAAAAAACATTTTAAATCAATTAATTTATAATATTAATGCTCTGTAAATTTACATTGAGCACTATTTTGTAAAAATAAAAATATGTATAAGAACACAGGATTATATATCTTACTGTTCTTTCTTTTTTTTTATATATATATATATATATATATATATAATAGGCTGATTAATAAAATGAGGAATAAAAAGTCAAGAAAATGATAAAAAATTGGCAATAAGATTCCATCTTCCATTTTAATCATATAAGTGAACATTGAAGCCAACACTTGGAGGCAACAAAGGCATTGTCTTTTTTTCTCAACTATTTATCAATAGTCGCGAAAAAACACAACCCATGTGGCCCGACGATTGCGTTTAGCATGAAACAGTCTGTCGCCTCAGAGTGTTGACTTCAATGTTCACTTTTATATTTATATTTACATACACACTCTGATATTAAGCACTTTATCCCTTAAATATAGTATACCTTAAAACTATATTTCTTCACACACACACTACACATTATATATATATATATATATCATGTGAGAGCTTTAGTCATGATGGGTGGGTTTATGAAATGACTCAGCATAACAATTTAGGATTTAAACTCCCTTTGTGATTTTTGCAACTCTGTAGGTAGAGAAAATGTGTTTGGGTGATGCTGTGGTTTTTGTGGTGTGGAGTAACAAAAATGATGGAAGGTCATAAAGTGGGGGTAGATTTGTGGATTGCAAGAGAATCATTCTGCGGTCAGGATAAGTATTTTTTGTTAATAGTGCAATTATCCAGTAGGTTGAGTGGTGGCCCAAGAAGGAAACTTGGTGGTGACTGGGTCAGACTTGTCACTTACATCGTGTAGGAACTTATTCACCAAAATGTCAAATGTGTTTTTCAAGCTACTTCCATTCCTTTCAGGATCCCCAGCTTGGAATGTAATTAGCAGAAAGCCAAGACCTTTATTTTTGTCTCACAAACCAGCAGCTATATATATGTATGTATATATATATATATATATATATATATATATATATATATATATATATATATATATATATATATTCAGATTACACAGATACTCTACAGATCCAAGGCAGAGGACCAGTGAGCACACAGATACTCTGATACAAGGTAGAAGTGTTGATCCATGCATAAATAATCCAGTTATTTTTTGTATGGATTGGCATTTCTACCTTGTATCTGGGAACTAGATTGGGAGGTTTCCTGTTTGAAAAATACACCAGATTTTTAAAGCTACATCGAAACAAAATTTAAAATATTTTAAGGACTTGGTTTGGTTTGGTTTATGGCATATCAATAAAATCTTGTTGGCTGATTATTTTAAGCTAACAAAATTTTTTATTGTTGGCAATATTTTTTTAAAAATGTATTGCTGGTAATATTTTTGTCTTCAATTATTTACAAAATAATGATAATAATTATTTACAAAAATGTATTGCTGGTAATAATTTTTCCTTAAAAAATGTGTTGAAGTGTTTTAAACCCAGTTTAGGGGTTAACTATTTGCCCATAGTAGGGGCCCTAACAAGTGCTACCACCACAGGTCAGAGTGGACCTGGGAACACCTGCAATTAAGAGGTGGTTCCACGCTCCTCAAAACCTCCTGATCAGAGGCATTGCTGTTGGACATAGTTTATCATCATACCCAGGATATGGATGTAGTTTATTGTCATACCCAGGACACATTTTAAGGATCTGCAGATTGTGAGGTAGTAAATTTGTTTAACCAATGATTGGTTTCATCACTGACTAAGTCAGTGATGAAACCAATCAGTCAGTGATGACTAAGTCAGTGATGAAACCAATCATTGGTTAAACAAATTTACTACCTCACAATCTGCAGATCCTTCATCCAGATTCTTTTTCCATGGTTGCTGTGGTTGATATTGTTTAGCGGCATATCAATCTTTAATACCAAAATCTAAATATTTTGAACACAATTTTATGACTTTAACTAAATATATTTTAAATGCATCACTTCAACTACAGATAAAATGTATTATTAGTCATTTTGCTATAAAATGTATTGTTGGTTATTTTGCTTTAAATAGTTATTACGGGTTGTTTTACTATAAAAAATATATTTTTTTGTACTTTTATGCTATTTTGTTTTTTCACTATTTGCCCATAACTGGGACCCTAACAGGTGCTACCACCCCAGGCCAGTGTGGGCCTGGGAACAACAGCAATTAAGAGATGGTTCCACACTCTTCAAATCCTCCAATCTTTCTATCAGAGGCCTTGCTGCTGAATTTAGTTTATTTTCATACCTAGGTTTTGATTCTCTTTCCAATCCACCAAATTAAGCAAGCACAAGTGTCACTATTAAATTAAAATTGTACAAAAGTCAGACCTAGTTCAGATTGTAATCTTGAAAATTCTTACCTTCAGCCCATAGCTGTAGATGTAACGGTACTGAGCACCGTTCGTGGATATTTTTTCAACCATGACACCTTTTTCATACATTCGTTGCTCTGTTAACTCTCCGTATTGCCATTTTTCGATGGCGCCATGACGGCTGTAACTAATGTTGAGATCATTGTGACCTGTGTTAGGCAGGAAATGTGTGGGGAGACCTGTGTTGTCATAGACAATGGTCAGAATATCACGCATTGATTTGTCCATTACTGTTTCAGTGTTCGTCTCGCGGTTGTATTCGACAGTCAATAAGTTTTCTCCATTAATCTGAAAGCAGACAACAAAACAATAATGCCTAGAAAATTCAGAAAAAAGAAAAATATTTTTAAAAAAAGTAATTGTGAGACAAAAAAAAGCATTGAAAATTTAAAATGATTTTTTTGAAAAGACACATGTTCACTTTGTTTAATTTTAGTTACTGATTGACATCTCTTTGGAGAGGAAATCTCTGTCCATTTCTTTCACAATATTATTATTTTTATTATACTGTTGTTGTATTAATACAACAACAGTATAATTCTGGTATAATTTGGCTACACTGTTCAATCATGTAAAAGGTTAATCTTGTTTTAGTCATTAGACAGCATAAGCAGCATTCAGTTTTAACTGCATTCAAAAAGATTGATTCTCATTGTATTGTGATAGCTGTCATCTCAGTGTGTACTTTTTAAAAATGTTAAAACTGACATAATTTTCCTTATTGATTTTAACATGGGAAAAGGAAAGAATAAATAATTTTCCATTTATGTTGATTTAATAAATGTAAAACTGCAACACAAACAAATGCAGACTCTACCATGAATGAATATGTCAAAAGTGGTTAATAAACTGAACCAACGTTTTTGGTTACTGAGCATCAAATCTGTATTATGGTAAGAGCAAAAGCTTCTATCTCATTTTTTTTTTCAAACACATATCTTCCTGGTGTCAGTCTAAACTGACATCTTTTTTTATCCATATATTATAACTATATATCAACATTAGTCAACATGAATTTCTGAAAATAGATAGTCCCCAGGCATCTGCCACCCACTACAACTGTGCCACACTGCATGCTACACAGTCTTACTAAGTCAGGAGGGGTAGCAAAAATAAACAGATCACCAACTAGGAATTATGTGTACTTTAAAATCTTGGGATAACAAAACACTCCATATGACTAACATAGGCTTAAAGTTTGCATTTTTTTAATATGAAATCAAAAAACTTAGCGATTTCCCAACGTGCTTCAGGGAAATTTTAACTTTTCAAAATTATATTATCTAGTTAGATGATGGTGAAAGCAAATTTTTCTTTGTGATCAAATTTCTCAAAATTTGAAGCAGCAGATAATTATAGTAGGATTTAAAGTGATACATATAATGTAGGCAAATGGGTTATGACAATTTGTGGAACATAGGTAATGATGTACTTTCTGACAAATTAATGAATTTGGGATTAATGTGCTTATTGTACATACTTGTATATAAACCAACTATAGTGAGACCTTTGAAATTTTTGCATGAATTCTAACCCCTCCAGAAAAAATTTGCCTGCGTATAGTGAAACTGGTCTCTGAAAATGCATCATAGCGTGACCCTGTTCTCCGATTTTTTGCATAAAAACTGATCCTAAAAACTTGCACTATACTCAAATAGATACAATATTTTTATATTATTAAGTGAAAGAACCGAATGTCAACAAAGTGACACCAAGACACAAATATACAATTCCCAATGTATCCATCATGACAAGTGTATACGGGACACAGGTATTACAGCCAAAATGTATAGAATATGGTGACAGGTTTGGATGAAAGCAGCACACAACCTTGCAAGTGGGACCCAATTAGAAATACCTTCAGGTCAGGTATCGCATCCTGTTTAGAAATGTTTTCTCAGTTTCTTTCTCTCTAATGTCTTTCATCTTCAGAAATTCCTAACGTTTCAGTGGCTTTATCACTTTTCTTGGGGTGAATTGGTTAAAAGAATGCTCTACACTGCAGTCTGACAGTATTGTGCAAAAATACTTTCACAATTTGTGTTAACCAACCAATAGCTGTGTATATTTCTGAGATGAGGTATCATAACTATTTTCACAATTCGGACTGTTGTCCTCATCTTTATTGCCATATTAACAACATTTTGGCATATCATATGAAATTAGCACTCTCTACCCCCATGACAAGATCCAAAGGAATACAGGCCATTACATTTGGGGATGACTTGGCTGAAGGTGTTGTCAGAAAGTTGCCAGTTTTGACAGCTAACCGCCTTCAGGACTCCACTCCAGGTTTTTCATCTGGATTTATTTCCATCGCCTTTTCCATGTTTTGGATATGACGTCAAGGCAGCGGAGGTTTAAAATCTAAGGGTTTTCCTTTCACAAGATGGACTGCCTTCCTGGGCTATTGAGCTTCATCTACCCAAAACAACTGGTCATAGATTTAGTTGTGATAGACAGTGGAAGCTTGTCTCCACTATTGCCTGCTGGCTACGACAACCTTTAAAGCATAATGTACATATATAAACATTTATATATATATTTTAGAAGCTCATAAAAGAAATTAATGGTTAAATATGGCAATATGAGATTTGATTATGAACTGTGACGATTGTCCATCCTATTGGAAATAAATATATATCATAAAATAGTTATTGATACTTATTTTTAATTTCTGATATATTAAGATTGTTAAAGGTCATAAGGAAGATAAAAAAAATTAAAAAAGAAGTGACACATCATAAAGTTATTGAATAACGGAATAACAATTTTGGAAATTGTGAAAAATTTAAACAGAACATTTAAAAAAAAAAAAAAAGAAACTGAAAACATTCGCAAGAACAAGAAAAAAATGGCTTGAAGAGGTTGCAAAAAAGATTTCAGAAATTTTGAGAGACAAATAAGCAAGAAAAGTGGATTGGTCAGCAAGAAAATGTTTGAAGCTGATGTTACAAATGTAAATAAAAGAGAAAATATGTAAAATGCTAAGAACAATGGCAAACAAATGACGAACCTTAAGTAAACATCATAAAAAGAAATGCATAAAAACTGATTTAAGCCATTTTTAGTAATGAATATAGAGCTATATTAGGTGGACCTGATGGGTTGGCTAGAGGTTGGGTCCTTCATAGAAAACAATAGTGGACAGGTGGAATTAAATCCTGTTATATTATTGTAGGCAGTAAAGATCCCTTCAATGTTGATAACAGTGAATAAAAACAAAAGTAAAACTTATCTTAGCTGACATGTTTTGTCCTCTGAGAGAATTTATCAAATCAAATGTAAGGATTTTGTTTTGTAACAAACATTTATAGATAAGAGCATAAATATTGTTAGTTTTCAAAATTTTTAAATTAAGAAATGGTCATAAATATTCATCATGTTACCTTAGAAGTCTTGGTAACTTATGGAAGGCAATAATTGACATAGTTTAACATCAAATAAATGATATTGAGTAAAAGATTTTCTTGAAGTTTTATGCAAATTAATATCTAAATTATTTTAGTTTGGAGTTAATTTATATGTTATATATTTTAAATAACATGATATTATGAATTTAACCATTTTTTTTAATATTTCTAAATTTTTTTACATGTATGTTGGCTTGAGAAAAAAGTAATTCTTTCACGAATGGAGATATTTGAAAAATCCAGAGTGCAGATTTATATTTTGATAAGATTCAATAGCAGCACTCTTGAGAATTTTCCTCCTAAATAAGTTACTTTCGCTTTTAATGTGTGGCATTCTTTAGATTGAAGTTGTTGAACTTATTTCTATGCATAACTAATGCATTTGATAAATTAGTGTGTATAAGATCCCTTTTGTGTTCATAGATACGTTTTTTGTAATCTATGCAAGTTTCCTCAATGTATTGTGATGAGTTTTATTACATATTTATATATATATATATATATATATATATATATATATATATATATATATATATTTGATAATAGTGTAAAGTTGGATGCAGATAATTATTTTAAGTTCTTAGACAAGACATTTTTGAGTGGTTACCTGAAGTGCATATTCATGCAAGACAATGCTTTTTCACATTCTGCAAAGCTATTATCCACCTTGTCAAATAGAAAGTTTCAGAGATCAAATTAATGGAAGCCTTTCCACTTGTGGTTTATAGACATGGAAACAATATTCAAGCAGTGAAAAAGAAAGGAATAAATACAATTGCAAGTTATATTAAAGTTAAGACAGTAAAAGTTGAAAATGTCAATGATTGAAAGTTTCTAAAATGTCAAGAAGCTGAGCTTAACAAATGATAAAATAATCCTCCTGGTTCCTTTCATATTCCATTTGTAAAAAGTTTCATTTGGATAGCTTCTTCCCAAGAAACACTACTTTGTAGAACAGACTCCTGAGAAGATACTTTCCTGGTCATTACAATCTTAATCTCTTCATGTCAGTGGTTAACCATTATCTTTCCTAAATATTTTCCAACTGCACTTCTTACTGCCTCTTATGTTCAATAAACGTCATTCAGTAATCCTCTACCTTGAGTGGCTCCTGGTGAAAAATTAGTTAGAATTATTGGGTGAAGAATTAGTTCTGGTATTGGATACGGCTTTAATAAAATATGCTTCTATGTATCTTTTGGATTTATTTATAAACTAGCTTAAAAGTTATTGGGCAGCATATAAGTTAGATTATTTAACCTTTTTTAACAGGACTTTGTGCACAAGTTCATACACAAAACGATTAAATCTAGCACAAGAAAAGATAAACCCAATAACAAACAGATAAAAATATAGATGAAAACTCATATGGAAGAGGATTTAGGGTACAAGAGGAAAGTGGTTATGAAGGGTAAAAGGAGAGATGTTATTGTTTAGAAGGTGATTCCCCTTGCATAAAAAAGAAACCGTCAGGTAATTATATTTTCATGTTTGGCTCGGATTTCTTTCTTCACCTCTTATTGTAATTCTGGTTATTTTACTTTTCACTTTGCTAATATCCTTATCCTTCTTCCTCTTTTACATGTCTTATTCAATAATTTATAAACAAAAACTACAAAACACAAAAGCTACAGCAAATTCCACAAAGGATAGAGCAAAAGCTATACAGCAACTGGCACTCTCCTACTGTCCTCCTGATTACTCTTTTTGTTCACACTTATTAGTAATGTTTCTGTTTCTAATTCTTCCACATCCAGTAACCCCTTGTGTCTTAGTGACTTTACTGCCTTGAATGTGGTGAAATTAATTTAAAAA